TTGGTCATTGTGCTATCAATAAACGTTAAGCTATTAGTGAAATYAAAAGAAAAGTCCGGATCCCGTCATTTTCACCTTGAATGAAAATAAACAAATACATTTATTTCTTTAGTGTCTAGTCGTTCTAGCGCTTTCGCACTAATTGGGGACACTTATCACAGGGATCCCTAACCAGATAAATCCGAAACCACTAATACTTAATGCCTGGGGTGAAAAAGGCCGCCATTTTATAGCCTAAGATGCTTTGCGACAATCCTTTCTCAGTCTCTCATTAGGCCATTTCTTTTCTCCTTGAGCTATTTCTTTTCTCCGAGAGCTATTGCTTTTCTTAGATCCAAATTTGTTACATATGGTAACCGTAGGTTTAGTATAGGAGGCCTAAATTATGTAGTAGTGTCCCTATAACTTTACGCACTGCCACGTCATTAAATGAATTTAAAAAGCATGTGAAGACATACCTATGTAGGCAAGCCTTTTTTATGTAGTTTTCCAGAATATTTGTCCATACATATATTCTTATATATTTTTTGATCCTACATATATTTTATAGTTATTTTATTATTTTGCTTTTTTCTACTAGTTTTGTTATACATTTTAACTTATTACATTTTTTTAGTATTGTAAAGCGCCTAGAACAATTATTGATATAGATAATATATAAATAAAGTTTATTATTATTGCAGTTGTATACTTAAGGATGCCTAGGCATAATTACATTCAGTCGGGCAGGCTAGTTGTGACCGACTAAACAAAACCTATCTAGATATATTTACAATATTATTAAAACTGTAAATTAAATTCTATCTACACTGATTCATTAATAATTGTCGCTAACTGTTCACTATTGTCCATATTAAATATTTGTAAGACTTCAAATATTATATGATATTTCTAAATTACTATGTTAATTAAAGCGAGAAATTATAAACTAAACTAAAATTAATAATTCATTATTCATTAATACAGTTAATAAATAGTGTTCGGTTGAGATGAACTATTCTATGAGAGAACTTTTAAAGGTCCTTGTAATGTTCAATGTACTTGATATTACAGACTTTTGCATGTTAAATAAAGTCTTGTCAGCTTTGGTCTTGCCAAGGAGTAGTTTCCCATTTTCTCTGGTTTCTGATAAGTATCCTCCTGGTACATCTATAATAATGTTATATTGCTTGATGGTATAACCCTTGAGTTTCAATCTTAAGGGTGCGTACTTGGTGGTCTTTTCCTTGTCTTTCTGCTTCCTGTTCTCTATCCAAGTACAACTCATCTCTTTCAGATCTTTACTGTCTTCGTCTCGTTGTCAACTACTCGTGCATCTATTCGGTTGGCTCTCACTTCAGTATTCTCCGCAAATACTCGTACATCCCAATAGGTGCCTACTTTTTTGTTGTGGTACTCAGGTTTAGGGGTTGTGGATGAATACCATGGTGGAACGCACTCGATCAGATCAAGGTCATTAAGCAGCTCAAAAAATAAAATTTTGAGGGCTGCGTTATGCCTTATGCCGTTATGCCCTATGCGTTATTTATTTCTAATAAAGCTGCAAAATAGAGAAAAAATAAGTATTTTAATATTGTTCTGTATTTTACCATACTCAATGTCTTTCCCATCTGCTTAAGGTCCTTCCTTGATTGTAGTTGCACTTATTTTGTATGATAAAATTCAATTATTTTTATCAAATGCATTAATAATTCATGAGGAAAACACAACAGAAGTCACGACCGAAAAGTGTTGTAAATCTGATACAAAATTGTGTTCATTTGCATAAATTTTAAGTTGGATTTTCTTGACCAGATTCACTTTAATTTTCAAAATTTTAGTGAAGCACAAAGGAACTAACCTAGACGTTTGATAAGCAATCTACAGTATTCGTGTCCGTGTTGTATCCGATATTCAAACTCTCGGCTACGCCTCGAGTTCGTATATCTGATGCAACACGGCCACTCATACTGTATATATTACTTAACATTGATACTGTAGTTGAAATCAGCTGATCCACTGATAGTGGCTGTCTTGTTATTGGATCACGTGGTCTATCCCACGTAATAACAACACGTGGCCCAAAGGAACGTTGTGCAGGCATCATAGTACCAGTGACATTACTGGAGCAGAAGGAGCTTTAGACAAAAGATAAGTAATACGATTTGTAAACATGTCATTACTTCAATACTACAAGTAGACCTCCCTCCCCAAAACAATCTTGCCCTGCTGGACATAAAGTCCTAGAATTCATGTGCGCGCAAACTAACCATGAAGCTGGGATGACAGTACTTTATTCATTCCCAAACACAGCAATATACCGAATCGAAATATGGCGACTAATTTGAATAACTGTTGTTCTGAACTAACTAGCCTCTCTTACATTTGAAAACGCTTTAAGTCAGTTGATGTTAGTTAGTTCAAAACACTAGTAGTAATTTTAAAATTAGTAGTAAGTTTATTGTATGTTATATATGTTTCCACGCGAACACGAGGCTAGTCAGTCCAAAACAATACTTATTCAAATTGGTTGCCATGTTTCGATTCCGCGTTGTACGCATATGTTTATTGCACTGTTTTTTCAGCTTTTAGTTTCTCACCGTCCTCCATCGTTCTCACTCTTCGCTCTGTACTTGGTGGACCATTGTACTTAGTGTTTCTGACTGCTATAGCGATGTTGTAAGTAGTCACGTCAGAGTATAGTTCCAACATCACTCACGTCACCCAAAACAATTAGATATAGATGAAACATAGAGCACAAGTTCACAGGACGTTTTTCTTGAAACTGAGACTTTTCTTGAGATTTTTTTAATGATACAAATTGACAGGAGTAAACACAAAGCACATTGAAACCATTTCAATTTTAAATACTTAAGATGTCAAACCAAGCTGTATCGTATGTTTTCTGATTAAAAAAGAAAAGAAAAGAAAAGAAAAGAAAAGAAAAGAAAAGAAAAGAA